AGCTAAACTTAAAGATTGAAATTCTATCTCTGGAACATATGTTTCATATATGATAACACATTGGTGAAGATTGACATCATCAGGTTTCAAGAAGGAACAGGTGAGAGTTCAACTGACCAAAACGGGAATTCTGAAGATCAGCGGAGAAAGGCCGATTAGGCAGAACAAACGGCAGAGGTTTCAGAAGGACTTTCCTGTTGCAGAAAATTGTGACAAAAGTAAAATCAGTGCAAAGTTTGAAAATGGCATTCTTCATGTTAAACAGCCGAAACTGATAACTTCAACACTGAAAAAGGATAAGGAATTGCCAGCCTCAGAAGCTGAGAATACGCCTGCTAAAAGACAGAAGACCTCTTTAAGAGATGAACTTACTAGGCAGGATAATGCTGATATTAATAACCCTGCGAAAGAGCCAGCAAAAGAAGAACAAAACAACCCTGCGAAAGAGCCAGCAAAAGAAGAACAAAACAACACTAGTCCTAAAACCAGTGAGCAAACAGAGGGTAGAAATATTGGAGAAAAATCACTAGCAGATAAAAGTAGTTCAAGTAGTTCTTACAGTGAATCTGAAAGTGATGAATCGTCTGATGATTCGACGGATGATGAAACAACCGGAAACGCTAGCTGTTTGGCTGCAAACCCGAAGAAGCCAAGGAAAATGATGAAAATGACTCTTGTTGCTCTGTTGATTCTTGGTAGTGGGGTCTATGTCGCCAACATGATGAAGTCTGCGAACGAAGCTGAAGAAATGGATCTAGTTTTTATGTAGCCCAAAATTGGTTGGGATATGTGCATTTCCCCCCAGCTATGACTGAATAAAATAACTATTCAATTTCTAAACTGTAATCAATCAATTTGTTTGAATAAATCATAAGTGCTAATGAGGTGAAATGGTCTGCCTCTCATGTGTGCTTTCTAAAGGGGAGAGCAAACGACTAAATCCAAGTCCTAAGGGCTCATTTAACTCAACAGATAAAGCAGAAAAGCTGACAGTAAAAGGGAAATGGGTTCAGGAAGCAGAGTATCTGCATCTGAGGTCTCTAACCATCAAGCAGCAGTTAAGATATGACAAGAAGAACTCGAGCAGTTCCAGTTAGTCAACTAAAATATGACAAGAACTTACCCTATTAAGTTCATATTAATACAACTTAACTTCCAAAACACTTTAATGTTTCAGAAAATAAATTATACAAATACTTTAAATAGATGGTAGCTATAATCATCCTTGCCAGCCTCTGTGTTCAAGAGGACACTAAACGTAAATAGCATGCCTCTGCAGTCTTCGTCATGGTAGAATTTGCATTCGGGGTGATAGATGAATCAGATGGTGTCATTGCAACTGATGATATAGTTTCTCTAGGCAAATGGCACAATGATTCCACCGCAGAAGGTGGCTTCTCATTTACATTCAAGATGCATCAACCTTTTCAGCACCTTGGACTGTGGAGATGTATATTTAGAGTGAGCCATCTCTTCTTCATCTTTCAAAGGTATGAATACTTAGTTGCATCAGAACCAGTAATAATAAGCCAATCACATTAGTTGGAACGGGTACATGGTGAAAATACGAGCATACCTCTGAATTGTTCTTGACAGCCAGAAATGGACAGAGTGAATCCATGCAAGGTTCAATTTTGATAAGTTCACCTTCCAATTCCGGGAAAACAGTTGAAGGATCATTGGTAAGGAAGGATTTGCCCGAAATGGGAAAAGATGTCAATTTACTGTACAAAAGTGAAATTTTCGAAGTCTTCCAACAGCATTAAAATGTCATTGTTTGTTAATCTCAAGACAAACATTTATTAGCTTGAACAAAGTCTCCTTAACATCGATTTGGCTTGTGTAAAGAAGGCGGAAGAGAATACGAACATTTTGTTAAAGCCATATAAGCAACCTCGGCAGCATAATACCTGAAGACTAGTAAAGAGCACTGAAATGCTATTCCTAGACTTACAATGTATCCTGAATGAATGTAAATCCGAGTTCAAGTAGAAAGCTTCCCAGGACTTTCTAAACAGCAAACCCTCTCTTGACATTAATGCAGCCTTCTCAAGATCTTCAATCTCATCGTTAATAGCCAAAACAATTTGATAACAAGTCTAAAATCTGAAAAGCAATAAAACATCAGTCAACATAGATGTGTGTGATGCCAAATGGGGGAAAGAAAAGCGTTGAAGCTTAAGAATACAAACCTCGGTTTGTCATCTCAGTTTAAAATGGTAACACGGCCTGTAAGCATCCTTCATTGGGCGCTTGCTCATGCTTTGTGCAGTGAAAACCAGAACACAGTCATTTGTTTTGTGCGGCTGACATCCATAATTCGAGGCTTAACACCGGCATCCATAACATTAAACCCATTCTTCCGCTGTAAAAGCTTCTCCTGGAGTTTGACTACTTTGCTGGTTTCCTCTGTAAAAGGAATAACTGCACTAGTATATAGTGAACTCGTTAGACTTGTATTCTAGTCGAAATTTTCTTATCTCTAAAGTCGCATTGTATTCTAGTCGAAAGTTTTATAATCTCTAAAGCCACATTATATTCTAGTCGAAGTTTTCTTAGCTCTAAAGTCGGAGAAGAGTATTGTTTCCTGGAGAAGAATATACCAGCCATGCTTCACTCCGTCATGGAGAAATAAGCTTCTCATCTGACAGGAAGCTGTTATTGATTCTCAAAATGATAGAAAATGATAACACCTGACGACTACTAAACACCACTGAAAAAACTATTCTTAGACTTTTGATGTGTATAGAAAAGAAAACTCACATCATTTCTCATATTAAGAGTGAAATAAAATATGATATCCAAGATAAAGTAGAGTGGCATAACAATCAAACATTAGAACCGATGTACCTCCTCAATAAGCTTACTTGGATGTTCTAACTGCCATTCTTTCACCTTCTGCATTTCCATTAGATGAGATTTCCTTTGCAGAGGTAAAAGGAAATTACATCATAATGGTAAATATAGCTGAATAAACCAAGTGAAATAAATATTCACTTATTACTTCCCGATTGAAACTATGGTATCATCCCCACTTGTGGGAATTCACTGGATTTGTTGTTGTTGAGTGAGTGAAACTGTGGTATCATGTTAAACAAAGAAGGATCCTCGGCGATAAGGTGTATAAGTAACTTTGCTGTAGCTGCATCAAATGAGAAGCCCCTTCCAGTCATTTCCTTCAAAAGAGTTGTCATTTCACTAGTTCTGCGAAACTTGAGAAATCCTTGAACAATAATATTGTACGTGGCATTATCTGGAGAACAACCATTATCTTCCATTTTTTTAAGCATATCTTTAGCTTCATCTAAAAACCCTTCTAGACAAAACCCATTTATTATCATATTGTAAGTTATCACATTGGGAGACAATCCAATTAAAGGAAGCTTCTCAAAAATACCACGAGCTTCGTCGACCTTACCATTTCTACATAATCCGTCAATTACAATACCGTACAGTTCAATATCAATATCTTCTCTCTTTGCTTCCCACTCATGAAATAGCTGTTGCGGAAGCCAAATGTATATAGTGTGAATAAGTCACAATTACTATACCAAAAATTATGNGCAACATAGCTTTCTCAACAAGTTCATTCTGGAAATAACCACAGAGCAAAATCCGATTAGTGCATAAATCAGGCTTGAGCCCCGTAGATAGCATCTCAGCAAAGAATTTATCGGCAAAGTCAGTTCTTCCAACTTCAAAAAGACCTCGGAAGATAGTATTGTAGGTAACAATGCTAAATTTCAATCCGTTTCGAGAAATTTCATGAAACAAATGCATGGCCTCATCCAATTTCTTTTTCTTACAGTATCCATTTATTAATATATTATAGCTAATAATGTCAGGCTTAATGCTCTTATCAATCATGGAATCGAAAAGTCTCCTTGCTCTATCCATTTGACCGCGCAAGCAATATCCATCAATTATCACATTGTAGGTGATTACATTAGGCTCTACGCCTTTTTCAATCATGTGTCTCATTACCTCCTCAGCATATTCAACTTTCCCTTCTTTGCATAATCCATCTATAACTATGTTGAAGGTGCAGACATCTGGATAAATATTCAGATTTACCATTTCTAAGAACAAATTCCTAACCTTTTCCCACTTGCCAAACTTACTAAGACCATCAATCAATGAATTATAAGTGACAACGTCCGGAGGAATGCCTTTTTCTTTCATCTCTTCGAAAAGGCTAATTGCAGCATCTACCATTCTATCTTTGCATAAGGCATCTATAACAATGCTATAGATGCATGCATTGGGCTTAGTGCTTCCTTGTTCCATTACCCTAAGCAAATCAAAAGTTTTTTGAGTATGGCCACTTTTGCTAAGCCGATTCATGACTGTGGAATACATGAATTCGTCAGGCTCACAAATATCCTCTCTCACCAACTTTTTGAACAAGTTAACTGCGTCTTTGATCTTATTTTCAGCAAAGAGTCCCCTTAGTAAGGTGCTAAACGTGACAACATTAAATAGAATGCCCTTCTTCAAGTAAATGGCTAACACTGAAAATCCGCAGTCAGAACGATGCATTAGGCAATAATTGTTGATAGCGATACTCAAGATGAAATCATTAATTGGGATGCCTAATTTCAGCATTTCTCGAAAAAGGGAAAGAACAGAAGAGTAATGCTTCATATTTACCATAGTCTTTAATAATTTAGAGAAGCTAAGAACAGAAGGAAGAGGCTGCGTTCTGATCATCCGACGAAAGAGGCTCAGAGCATCATCTAAACACTTGACATTCTCAATATTTCTATGAGATGAAGAATAATATCTCATTGCAAAGGGAATAATACCATTGGAATAGTAAAGAAGCAAAGAAATTCTCGTCATCTGATTGCAATTGCTGAAGAGAAATTCTGTTTGCACTTTGTCCTAATTTGTGTGTGCTACGGATGCCAAGTAAATTTTTTGTTCACGGGACATTTTTTCTTAAAATAAACCTTTATTTCATTAATTTTTAAATTTAATACCTACAGTATTTGTTTTTAATCAATTTTTTCAGGCTGAATTTGTGAAAAAGCTTCGCCATTATTTAGGTTGAAGTTCTTTTCATTTAGCTAAAAGTAATAGAGTTTCAGCCAATTCTTTTTATTGATTTGGCACTCCAAAAAAAACGTTAGTTTTAAACAAATTATGATTGCATCTGAAGAAGAAATACAAAAATATAAAGATGAAACTCCATTATTTGGATTAAAAAAAATAATTGGCTAGAGTAACATTACTCTAGCAACTTTTTTTACTTTAGATTTGACCTCAGAAAAAGAAAAATATTATATCTAAATAGCAAGAAATACACAGTTGAAACTCCATAATTTTGGCTAAGAAAAGTTTGATTCCGCTAAAAATAATGAGTTCTAGCTTAATTTTTATAGATTTGGCATGATAAATAAGAAATATACAATGGAAAAAAATAGTCATAGCATCTAAAGATGAATAAAAGTAAAGGTGCAGTTAGTACTGCATTATTTTGGTTAAAAAAAAATTTTATTTGGCTAAAAATAATGGATTTAAGTTTTTTTATTTGGTTAAAAACTTTTTTTTTTACTTGTTTCGTTGTTGAAACAAGTAATTATTGCATCGATAAAGAAATTAAAAAAAAGTACAAAATTATTTATTCTCCTCCATGGTTTCCGTCAACAAGAATAAAGAACAAAGGCTATTATTATGGGAGCACTTATCCTTATTTTCTTCTATACAATAAACAATTATTCAGTAAACTCTTCATTGTGTACTATTATATATAGCATATTAATATTACAAGTAAAAAAATATACACAATAAATAAAAATAAAGTTATATTTAGTTTGAAAACTATATTCCAAATTAGAATATTCTGGTATATTTGATTTGATTTCTATATTTCAAATTAAAATACCATAGTGTGTTTGGTTTAAGTATTATATTCTTTATTAGAATGTTTTGGTATATTGGTTGGAATTATTTATTCTTATTATTAAACTTTTGTAATTTGGTATGTTCAGTTTGAATATTGTATTTCAAATTAAAATATTATATACTATTATATATAGCATTTTAATATTACAAACACAACAAATTAAAATAAAGGTATATTTGGTTTGAATACTCTATTCCAAATTAGAATATTGTAGTATGTTTGATTTGAATATGTAATATTTGGTTTGAATATGTACTTTGAAGTAGAATATTGTGGCGTATTTGGCATAAAAATTGTATTCTTTATTAGAATATTTTGGTATGTTGGTTTGAAGTATATATTCTTCATTAAACTATTGTGATTTGGTATATTTAGTTTGAATATTGTATTTCAAATAGAATATTATGGTACGTTTAATTTAAATGCTATATTCAAAATTAGAATATTGTTGTATGTTTGATTTGGATATTGTATTCCAAATTAGAATATTATGGTATGTTTGGTTTGAATATTATATTTCAAATTAGAATATTGTTGTATGTTTGATTTGGATATTGTATTCCAAATTAGAATATTATGGTATGTTTGGTTTGAATATTATATTTCAAATTAGAATATTGTAGTTTGTTTGATTTGAATATTGTTCGTACACGTGTAAAATCGGGCCTGTCCAATTTTTACCCTTTGATCGAGATCAAAAATTGCATCGAAGGTTAGCCTCGTAATAATGAGGGCAAAGCGCCGAAATTCGAGAATCGAAGCGCCTACCAGGATCGGGACTCGGTCGAGCCTGATACATGATCGAGCTTGGCATCAGATCGAACTCGGTCTCTAAGGTCAACCGGATTTCTGAACTAACATGAATATCGAAAGCGGGGGAATGGACCGTCCCGATCGGCTATACCAAATTTCAGGACAGAGGACCAACAACGTCGGTCGAGGTCATCAAACTTGCCCTCGAACACTATAGAGGGCACGTCGAGCCAGCCCTTCGGAACCTCGAGAAAGCATCACCAACTCAGCCGACAAAGGTCCATAATATTCTCCGCTAATCAATGATTACATCGCAGATCATGGCACTAAAGGGAATAGCTTCCAACAGTCATCAAGGCCCATACTTTCATAAAATAATGTAAAATACTTTCATCGGCTCTATTTTTGAATGTTTAGTCTATATTTACATTGATTATTTCCTTTATCAGCTTCTTACTTTGTATTTGTATCGAATAGTGTTACGTATCCTTAGAACTACGTATAAATTTAATTGTTATCCAATTTCAAGGGTAAATAATTTGGCGTCCACCGTGAGGCTAAGGATAACAGTAATCATTTGATACAAATCTGCATAACACACTGCTTTACGCTTGTTCTTGGGAGTATCTTTGATTTCATATCTAAGATGGCTAATCCCCGACTAGCATTTCAAAACATCGATAATGAGTCCGGCCACCAAAGTGAAAACAACAACGTAGCACCTAGTAACGCGGGGCCACTTGATGAGGCCCTCGGAATCAGGGCGGTAGATCCAAATGATGTAAACTCTCATGTGGCCGTCGACGTCAACTTAAACACTGATCCCGAAAACAACATTCGTGGAGGAACTCGATCTGCGGCTCGAAGCGCCTAGAATGCTGAAGGAGACGGGATCAACCGACGCATGATTTTCGAAATGCTTCAAGATCAACATGTAGCAATTGCTCAACTACAAAGTAAAAGTCAGGTCCCGAGCAGGAACAAGCCCGGCCCACCTAAAGAAACTACCAACGGGACAGAACCGGCCATGATAAGATCAAATGAACAAGAGTCGGGCACCAATCCCGAAGTCATGAGAATGCTCGAAGAACTAAAGAAGCAGGTCGATACGGGGGAAAAGAAAATCGAGGCTAACGACAAGAAAGTCGAGATCTACAATTCCAGGGTGGACCAAATTCCGGGGGCACCCCCGATATTGAAGGAATTAGATGCCAAAAAGTTCGTGTAGAAACCCTTCCCTCCAAGTGCGGCCCCGAAACCAATTCCCAAAAAGTTTTGAATGCCCGAAATACCCAAGTATAATGGGACAACCGACCCCAACGAGCATGTGACCTCTTACCCTTGTGCCATCAAAGGAAATGATTTGGAGGAAAAAAAACGCTGGTGCCACTTACCAACGTTTAGTAAATAGAATGTTTGAGGAAAAAATTGGGAAAACAATGAAAGTTTATTTTGATGACATGTTAGTAAAGTCCCTGCAAGTAGAGGACCATTTAAAATATTTGCAGGAAGCCTTCGATATATCGAAAAATTACAACATGAAGCTGAATACAGAAAAATATGCTTTCGGGGTCGGATCTGGTAAGTTCCTCGGGTTCATGGTCTCGAATCGAGGAATCGAGATCAATCCTGACAAAATCAAGGCTATTGAGGACATTGCCGTTATCGATAGCGTGAAGGCAGGTTAACTGCGCGTATTGCCGCATTAGGACGGTTCATCTCGAGGTCCGCAGATAAAAGTCACCAATTCTTCTCACTGCTAAAAAAGAAGAATAGCTTTGTCTGGACACCGGAATGTCAGCAGGCCTTGGAGGATCTAAAACATTACTTATCGAGCCCACCATGACTCTATCTTTACTTAGCGGTATCAGAGGTAGCGGTAAGCGGTGTTTTGGTCCGAAAAGAACGAAATACGCAATTTCCTATTTATTATGTTGGCATAACCCTATGTGAGGCCGAAACCAGATATCCCCACCTAGAAAAATTGGCCCTCGCATTGCTGAGTGCCTCTAGGAAATTAAAACCATATTTTCAGTGTCATCTTATATATGTTGTAACAACCTTCCCATTACAAAATGTAATGCATAAGCCCGAACTCTCGGGACGATTGGCCAAATAGGCCATAGAGATTAGTGGGTATGATATCGAATATCAGCCCCGAATTGCCATTAAATCTTAGAAATTGGCTGATTTTGTTGTCGATTTTACACCAGCTCTGATTCCCGAAGTTAATAAAGAAATACTGGCCGGCTGGAAGGCCTCTTCGGGAATCTGGACCTTGTTCACAAACGGCGTATCAAATGTGAAAGGGTCCGAGCTTGGCATAGTGCTTAAACCACCCTCGGACAACATAGTTAGACAATCGATCAGAACTTTGAAATTGACTAACAATGAGGCCGAATATAAGGCCATGATTGCAGGTCTCTAACTCGCAAGAAGCTTGGTGGCAGAAGTGATCGAGGCCAAGTCTGATTCCCTCCTTGTGGGGAACCAAGTAATGGAGCGTTCGAGGTCAGAGAAGAACGAATGCAAAGATACCTCGACAAGCTACGAACGACATTACATCGTTTCAAAGAATGGAATATGCAGCACGTGCCTCGAGACCAGAACAGTGAGGCCGACGCTCGGGCAAATCTAGGCTCAGTGGTCGAAGATGACGAACCCGATTCGAAGGTAGTCATGTAATTGAGAAAATCGATGACAGAAGGAAGCCACATCGAAGTAAACTCTGCAAGCCTTACTTGGGATTAGAGAAATAAATAGATACAATACTTGAAAACAGGAGTTTACCAAAGGATCCAAAAGAATCGAGGACTCTGCGCACAAAAGCTCTCAATATTTGGCTCTTTGATTCACTAAATAGCTTCTTATGCTATATGTAACTTCTTTGAGTAATTGGTTTCAATTGGATTTTGGATTTGTATTCCACTTGAGTCTTCATGTTCCATGTGTGGTGAGATTTATTGTGAGTTCTTTTGCATTATTTGTAGTCTAGAACTTGCTCGGAATGTGCTTAAAGGCGAAATCCTAGACTAACTTGGTTTGAAAAATGATATTTGGCCTTCCTTGGACCGCTATTGTGCCTTAAATTTTCTACCCTTGCATATTTTCCCTAGTCAACCCATTTTGAGCCTTTAACCTTTTTTCTTTGGCAACCATGTTACAAGCTTTAACCCTCGTT